TAGCTACTTGTACATAATCATTTGAAAAAAAGCACAGAGTCACTTGAGACATGTACTAAAGCATTTGCAATTTGATGAAACCAATGAGAAATGACATTCTGTTGTGAACAATTGCAAGGTGGTTTGGAGATTTGTCCATGTTATTTTGAGAATGTCATCTCGGTTTCAAGAAATGAGCCAAACCAATGGAGAAAAACTGTAACTCAGTATTAGTCAGGTGGTTAATTTAATAACTTAAATGTTATGGCTGACTGGTGTATTTCTATATAATCAACTGTGAAGAAAATTAAAGAAAAGTGTTATTTGAGTTCATGCAACTACTCATTAGCTCAAATTCACTACAAATTAAAATGAGCTCATCTGTTGTTGACTCTGCAAGGTATTTTGTGATAGTGTATTAATACTATGAGTCTATGAGCATAACTTTAGATAACAGCTATAGTGTATTTATTTTGATTAATATAAGGCAATAACAATAATTTTTGCTAGGTGAGATAATTACTAATCACAAACGACTGAATCCATTTCCTTAATCCAAAAGTAGAAGATAATTCTGTCATTTGATTTGACTTAAATTAGTGTCCTTTTCAGGAGTTCATGAAAGCACATCAGTAAGGGAGAGATGAGTGAAGTTGTTTTTTATTAGTTTTTTTTGGCAGCGTTTCCCAATGTGTTCCTAAGGGACCCACAGACTGTGCACATTTCTGCTCCCTCCCTGCTGGAGAAAAAATGTGGATCTTCTGGCAGGTATCTCAGAGGAAGGGAAAATGTTGACTGGCTGTCCCCATAGACAGGGTTGGGAAACACTGCCTTGCTGCAATATGGTACAAATATTTAACCAGCTCTTCCGGCTCAGGTCTCACCTGGACACGTCCACGGATCTGCGGTTCTCCCTTGGCTCTCTGGCCGACACGCAGTCTGAGCACTACAGGTCGGCCAAGGCGGCCCGCAGGTCGAGAAGAGGCCGTTTGGGCCTCCACAGAGACGAGCCACAGGTCAGCGTTGAAGTAGATGGGGGGGCCTGTGCACTACAGCGGGTGATGCATGGATGTTAGTCACAGAGCACGCAGTTGCACTGACTGCACTGTATAGGCCAGTGTTTCTCGGTCCAGTTCTCAGGGATCCCCAGATAGTGCATGTTTTTTCTCCCATCCAACTCCCAGTACATCTGGGACTTTCTGGGGATTCCCAAGGACTGGGCTGACAATCACTGGTGTGGGCTATCCTAAGCTATCCAGCCTAATTCCTTTACAAGGCAGGGATGATTCTAAGATTTTATTTGAGGTGGGAGGCATAAGAGGGGCCATAATTCATGCAGAGGGGCCAACCTTATTAGCCAATGATATGTTTCGAATCGGTGAGTGATGGCAGGGGGCAGACTGGGGGCGAATCAGCTTTGGTGTACCGCTAATGGCCCCACCCCTGTATACACCCCTGGCACTAATGTAGCCGCAGCGTTCCCGTAGCCCCCTCCTGGGCACGGACCCTCTCTCAAGGCCCCTCTCTCATCCCACCACAGGCCAAGTCACTGGGAGAGCACGAATGGCGGGCGCAGCAGCTGGGGGTCCTGGGCACGCACACTTTTGAGAGCGACACGGAGATCTCGGACATCGACGACGACGATCGCGACACCCTCTTCAGCTCGATGGAGCTGCTGTCCCCTGGTGGGCATTCGGATGCTCAGACCCTCGCCATGATGCTGCAGGAGCAGCTGGATGCTATTAACAAGGAAATCCGGTTAGCATTCGGGGGTGGGGGAGGGGGGAATGCTGCCACCTAGTGGTCTCTCTGTCACAGCCAGTTCAGGGACGTTACTTATTAATTCAATACCACTGACCTTTTATCTGGTTAAAAAACATGGTCCTTATAACAAGAACTTTCTCAAGTTCTTTTTGAGGCACAGAACAAAGAAAGCGATAATATCTTTGTTTTCAGTTTAATGCCTGACTTGTTTTTTTTCCATTCCATCCATTTTTAATTGAGTGAAACCTGCTTATCTCCTGAATATATATTGAAAAACTTAGGGCTGTGTTATTACTATAAATGCAAATATCAACGGATTTCCAGAGAAAGCAGACCATAATAATTAATTTTAGCCTGCTTCCTCCCACTGCAGACATCTTAAACGCATTGTTCGGTCTCCTGCCTGGGGATCCCAGGCGTGTAATCTAGTTAACAAGTCGCTAATCGGCCATGTGCTCGGTCATCTTGAATCAGACGCACCGCTCTGAGGAACTGAAATCCAATGGGCCAAGTCGAGAGGGTGGTTAATCGGGGGTTTCGGCTCTCTGTGAACCACGGACCCCGAGACCACAGGAATGTGGGTACGCTGCTTCAGTCGAGACTCGAATAAGCTGAATCGCCTCTAAGCCTTCCAAGCGGAAAGATCCGCATAATGCAGGAAACATACGCACTGTCAGTAACAGGCATGCAAACCACAAATGGGGAAAGGGTAAAAGTAAGCAATGGGAGAATGGTAAAAACGACCAATGGGAAATGGGTAAAAGTAACCAGTGAGACAATGGTAAAAACGACCAATGGGAGATGGGTAAAAGTAACCAGTGAGACAATGGTAAAAACGACCAATGGGAGATGGATAAAAGTAACCAGTGAGAGAATGGTAAAAACGACCAATGGGAGATGGGTAAAAGTAACCAGTGAGAGAATGGTAAAAACAACCAATGGGAGATGGGTAAAAGTTGTTCCTGAACACTTCCACTCACAGTTGACCATGGAATATCTAACAGGGAAGAAATATCACGAAATGACTTATTGCAAATTGGCATCCTATGACAGTACCACGCTTGAATTCAATGAGCTCTTCAGAATGACCCATTCTGTCACAAATATTTGTAAACATGACTGCAAGGCTGGGTGCTTGATTTTATACACCTGTGGCAATGGGTTTGAATGAAACAATGAAATCAATGATTTCAAGGTGTTTCCCAATACTTTCGTCGATATAAATTACCGAACGGGAAAATTTTAAAAGTAACCAATGGGAGAAGAGTAAAAGTGACCAATGTCAGAAGTGACAAACCATAATGACTGACAGCACATAATCCTACCAACCGCAGGCATCGCTGTAGTACACCAGAATTTCTTAGTGACATGATTTAAATGTCATTCTGTGTTGGTCATGAAAATTGACAGCATACTACAAAACACAAGTAATTCTGAGTAACACGTCTTAAGTGTCATTCCATGCTGGTTGTGAAAAATGACAGCACTGTACAAAATATGAGCATTTCTGAGTAACGTGACTTAAATACTCTTCCATGATGGTCCTGAAAAACCTGCCTCTAAATGGTAGCTCTGGTGTCTTACAAACAAGCATCCCAGCTGACAGACAAGAGGACTCTTTTAAGTACTGGAAGAGCATGAAAGAACCAGGACACCCATGAAAACTCAGTAGCACATAAATAGATACCTTATGGCCAGAGTGTTTACAGAAACAAAAGATCACCTTGGGATGTCTGAAACTTCCGTATGAAACTCCACATTAGCATAATTATTGCAGTGCCGGTGTCTGCTTTGGGCGTCTGAAAGCTGCGAGACCAGGTTTGAGCTATAAATGTGAGTTCTTGGGATCCTAGGGAAGCTTGTTCTGGCTTTTTTCCCCCCTTTTAATTGGGGTCCCACAGGAAAATCCCATTAAGACTGTGGACTGTAATTCCTGTAAGAATTAAGGAAAAGGAGACTATTAAACAAAGGCTACCATTCAGTTTTCTGCCAGTTCCGGTGTTTTCTAGAGGGATTGAGAGATACCCAGATGTTGGAAATTCCCCCAGTCAGCTTACTGCTGCTTTATACCCCAAACCCCCTCCCCCCCCACCCACCTGCAGGCTCATCCAGGAGGAGAAGGAGTCAACGGAGCTCCGGGCAGAGGAGATCGAGAGCCGTGTGGCCAGCGTTAGCCTGGAGGGTCTGAACCTGGCCCGCGTGCACCACCCGGGAATGTCCCTCACTGCTTCGGCCACCGCCTCCTCCCTGGCCAGCTCCTCCCCCCCCAGCGGCCACTCCACCCCCAAACACACTCCCCACAGTCCCGCCCGCGACATGGAGCGCATGGGCGCTATGACGCTGGTGCGTTGGGTTCCGCCCCGCTCTCGTTTACTGAGCGACCACGAGACTTTTTCAGACGAGTCCTTTAGGAGAGCTTTAGTGAAGACAGCCTTTACATGGCAGCCAGCGGATTAACGATGCCTTAACGATGTGGGCAAGTGCCCAGAGGATTCAGAGTTTAAAGTTAAACTAATACTGAGGCCTGCCACTTTAATCGCCACTGCTGCTCTGTTCTGTATCAGTAACTATCATACCAGGTGGTGGACAAAATGTGCCTGAGAATTGGTAGCAGTGTCCTACTTGAACTAGCTTCCCCTACTGGCCAAAGAACTAGGATGGGGGGGGGGGGGGGTGCTTGTCCCAGGTAGGCCACCACCTCCAGTTCTTAGACTTGTTTTGTCCATCACCTGGTATGATATGTTTTCCATCCATCCATATTCTGTAACCGCTTATCCTCCAGCCCATCACAGGGCACACACACACACACACACACACACACACACACACATCTACAGGCAATAACTCCCAAAAACGAGGTGTGAAGCAACAGTGCTAACCGCTGTGCCAACTTGCATCTGGAAAAGATATCTGTTTCTGATTGAAGTCACAGATCTGTCACAGTTATCAAAGAAAGAAGTGGTAGTGTGGTCTATACCACCAGTGACCCGCCTACAAGTCAACCATGCTCCATCGGTCTCTACAGTGGAGTCTGCAGCTGTGTCTATGCTAATTCGATCACCACGGGTTCATGGAATTTTAGCATTTTGCCTCTGTCTCCTTATAGCTTCTTATGGAACATGTTTTTCATGTAGAATGACAGCTCTGTTCTCCTTCCTTTCATCCCTACAGCCCAGCGATTTGCGGAAGCACAGGAGGAAGGTACTGGCCCGCTGCACAAATGGTGTTTATAGTAAAGTGGATCGCTAGCGCTGCCATGTATTCGTCCATGACGCGTTTCGGGGGTCGTCTTTGTCTTGAAAGTGTCACAAAGGGACATTTCAGCGTCAACCCATTTTGGGTTCCCTCCTCAGATCGCAGTGGTGGATGAGGACGGCCGAGAGGACAAGGCCACCATCAAGTGCGAGACTTCCCCGCCATCGACCCCACGCCAAGTGCGGATGACCCACACGCTACCTGGCTCCTCTCACAGCGACCCTCGCGGGTGAGTCTGGGGGTTTCACCTAAAACATACACAGATGTCACTCCTTGCTAGAGCATTCTCAACAGTACATGGATAGGCTGTCTGGGACCTTCCAGGAGATGCATGAAAAGCTGAAGGTGATTCAGACGCGATGTGGGGAGATATGATTTTATTCAAGTTCATTTATCATCGTTTACTCTCTATACCCATTTTGCATTCCCGTAGTATCATGATTTCTCACTCGGTGTTGGCAGGAAAACCTTATTTTGTCATATTATCTGAATAATAAAATACCACAGTGACATTTGCTCTTAATGTCTCAGATAAGATGTCTTCTTCCTGAAGAATGTATTGGGTGAAGCTCACTGGTGTGTAATTAGCACGTTGTCTGCCTGGGTAGGTGAAGCTCGGGGGTTATTAAATGTGAGCCTGTGTGTCTCCTTGTTCTCCTGTATCTCCTTGCAGCCTGACCATTGGCATGGAGGCCGAGGTCAGTGCCCTCAGCAGTGTCACCAGCAGCCAGGACTCCCTTCACAAGCAAACCAAGAAGAAGGGCATCAAGTCCTCCATCGGAAGGCTCTTCGGCAAGAAGGAGAAGGGACGACTGGGCCTGCTGGGCAAGGAGTTGGGTGGTCCCGGTGCAGGTAGGGGGCCACTTCCATTTCTCAGACTCTTTTTTCCATCACCCAGTACGATAAATTTGGGAAAAGATGTGTCACGATTTTTTCAGTCCATTGCAGACAATCATGAAGATTTTGACTTAGAACTCAACCAACTCAACACCCACCGAGATGCAACGATAATGCATTTCTGTCTCTTCCTGACAGGAGTGATGTTAGATCCGGAACTGACAGGTCAGGACCTTGCGATGGGGAAGCTGGGCACCCAGGCAGAGAAGGACAGGAGGCTGAAAAAGAAGTAAGCACAATCTCTCACATCTACACTCATCTCAACCTAACATTCAGACTTCTCTGGTCATTGGAGGTGGTTTCGATGACTGTCACGGCAGCTTGATGCATGGCAGTCTGTGCAGTCTGAGAGCTCGGTCACTGTTGCTGGCAAAGATCGTGAGGGATTTTTGGTTAATCTTTTAAGGAGTCACAAGGGCTTGATCTGGCGCTGAAGTAGAGAGGCACCGTCCTGTTAGGGGAAAGGAACATCTCCTGGTTATTAGATTGCTTCCTTCTAGGTCTCTGCGACAGGACCCCATAGCAGTATGGTTAGAGACCACACCCCCAGACACATAAAAGCTCTGGTGTGTCTACTGTGAATGAACCCCCCCCCCCCCGCTATCTGTAGGTTCCAGCTAAGTCACAGATATTACTTCACCCCTTACACTGAAAAAAAGAATCCATAATTAAGATTTAAATAAAGCCTTGGGTTGGATCTATTTGTATTTTTTAAATATCCCCTATGCTGTAAGACACAAGCCACAATTTTTTGCAAATGATTGATCTGAGCAGGGGAATCTCTGTAGGAGATGCAGAACTCAAGGGCTGAGCTTAATGCAGCTAGTCGAGAAAACTCAGATTAACAAAATGTCATTCCAAGGAGCAGAAGTGTTTTCCCCATATAGATCCCATCTTACTCCAACAATCACGCTCATATTTTGATTGTCAAGTGTTTGAAGCCTGAGGCAGCTACTTATTGTTGCTAAATGTTATTGTTACTAAACATTCTAAGACGTTTTCCCATGAATAAACTTCATTCAGGGCAATTCACTGGATCTTGAATAATAAATGGGAAATAATATGTTCTCAGACCTAAGTCCTATTGAGTAATCCTCCATTGGTGGTGTCCTATTGATTTCCCAGTACGGGCAACTTCCGTAGTTGTCTGTTTATGGAAAATGACCTTCCCACTGGAGCCACTCAATACATCTCCAGCCTCCCGCATCACAACCATTCTCCTTTGGAGCGCCGACGCGGAAACGAGAACCTGTCCTGAAATGATTTGCCCGTCCGTCCACCACCACCATGTATTGTTGTCCCATTTCCCCCCCCCCCCCCAAATTTTACCTTTGGGTTATGTAACACTGCGTTAAGGTCCTGTTGCTGGAACATTTGGCTACTCATGGATGACGTGAGGAGCTTCGAGAGAAAGACAGACAGACAGACAGACAGACAGAGACAGAAAGTGACAGATAGACTGACCATTAATCGTCGAGGGAAAGTCTTAATGCATACCTGCGTGGAAGGAAGCTGACTGCTTCCTCTTCCTTTGTGCCTGATTACAGTGTATATGCTCATTAACATTTATGTCTTTTCCATCATTCTCTCTCTTTCCCCCCGGTCACATGACACTAAGCGGGTAAGTTAGATAGCGGCGCTGCTGCACCCCTGCATTGTTGGCACCATGGCATTGTCCTCTTCCCGTCCTTAGTCTGGGCCCTCTATCTCTGTGTCTGTTGGCACTGGTGGTACGCATCGCTGGGCCCGGCACCTGTGAATGGAGAGCCTTCATTTGATTTACTGTGGTTGGATGTTACGTCGTTCCTATTCCCTCTCCCCCCCCCCCCACCCCGAGACTTGAACATGCCATGCATCGATAGCTGGGCAGACTCTCTGTGGAATGTCGGTCCCTCCTTTCCCAAGATGCATCCTGCTTGTACGGTTCTCTGTGCGTGTTTGTATGTATGAGAAAAAAAAACGGCACTTGTTCTTGTCCCGATTGGTCCCGGTTGTTGATTTTTTGGTCGCCCGGATGTTTTTGTTAACCGTTGTAACCATTTCTGTTCCCAGCTGCTTTCACTGGACACGGTTTGCTCATGGGAGTTTTGCTTACAGAGAAACATACCGAGGGCAGACCGAAAACTAACCAATCAGATTGTGGAGGAGGTGTGTTCAAGCACCTAGAGGAGGTGGATCAACCAATCAGGTTGATTGGTTGATCCACCAGGTCTTGGTCCCTCCTCCTCTAGTTGCTTGGACACACCTCCTCTACAATCTGATTGGTTATCTCTCTAAACCAATCATTTTTTGTTTTGCCCTCAGAACATTTTTGCATAACTAAAACTCCCAAGAGCACATGATTTAGATGCAGACACACGTGAAATTGATTATTCAATAAAAAATGCTCACCATCATTGTTTAAAAAAATCAGTTTTGGTAGAAAAAGCAGTTTCCACACAGGAGAAACTCATTAAAACCCATAACAAGCCTAGTTTACGAAACGCACAGGAGCTAATACACCAAGGACTTTTGACAAAGGCTGGCAAGCATTATTTATCTGCTTAAGGAATCGACTACAGATCTTTGTTAACGCCACTGCTTCAACCAGAGTTGCACTTCAGAGGGTCCTGGTTTTTACGTTACTAGTACTAATACTGACCCTTCTCCTTCTACTTGACATTGGGCTTGTGACAGTCACAGGATTCCCTAATGTAAGCTTTCAGCACCATGCTATACCAGTCAGGGGACAGCAGAGGGCGGGCTTCTGATAAGATGCATCTCTCCTTAATTCTCTTGCTTGAAAAGGTGGCTCGGAGAGCTCGCTGCATCTCCAGCACTATAATCGCTAACGAGCCAAGGTTTACCAGGGGACCATCATTCAGTTCTTTCACCCACGCAACATCTCCAAGGCGCTATATTTAGTGCTACTTAATGGACGTACCTCACATACAGAATGTGATTCATAATAGAAGTATCTGCGCATTATAATTTCAATGCTAGAGGATGGTTTTTCTGAAATGAGATTTTTATTAAAACTTCTCTCGACAGTCATGTGACTCTGTCCCCATTGCGGCATCTCCCTCCGTGTGATTGGCTGCAGTGCCACCTGGGGTTGTCTTTCTGCTGAGAAACACCCCCCACCTCCCTTCATCAGAGTGATGAAACATGGCACGTGTGTTCCTCCCTCTGTGTCGTGCTGATGCTCCGCCCATGACTCCACCCCCATGTCTCCCCCCATCCAATAGGCATGAACTACTGGAGGAGGCGAGGAGGAAAGGCCTGCCTTTCGCCCAATGGGACGGCCCCACCGTGGTGGCCTGGCTGGAGGTAGGCCCCAGGCTCACCCACACACAATGCAAACCAGGCCACTCCTCTAAATGAGCCCTATAAATGATATTATAAACTTTTAGTTATTGCTTTTCTTGAGTTCTCAGCATTTTTTGCTGTTTAATCATGTTGCTGGGGATTATTGTGCCCTAGAATGCAGTATAAATTATCCCAAAGTTTATGATTCCTCATAGCTGAACAGCTTCCGTTATGAACCACACAGGAGGACCTGATAGTTAAAGGTCTGCAAGGTGTTGTACAGACAGCCTTCATTACATCTGTCGTTTACATATACAGTCAGTCAAGCTACAACGCATGACATCACACCTCAAATCTGTTTTAACACAATTAAAATATTAGTATCCAAGTCCAATGTAACACGGAATCGCATTTGTATTGGCATGATTTTCAGTCGAAGGGAAAAGTATTAAGCGAACTACAACACAATATGGTCTTGGTGAGAAACACTACTTGCACACAAAAACAGCAAGTGAACGATAGTGATGTCCAATTTATGAAGGAATCTTTCCTTTGAACTGGTTCTTTTCAGTGAATCGGTTGAACTGATTTTCATATCTAAAAAAATTGAACTTTTTGTACATCCACACATTACCTAGGTCACAGTCTTAGATTCTAAAAATATTTGACAAATTACCATATAAAAACACACAAGTAGTTTGTTATTATTATAAAATTTATCATTGTCCACTGTTATTACTGTTTTACTTTTTATTTAATTGTCATTATGTGTAACTTACAAAGTTTGGGAGTCATTTTACTCTAACTTACAGAAGTGAGATGTTTATAATATTTATTAATATATACTTATTCTTCCTTATTTATAATGCATAACGGCTGTTGGTATCATTTCTAATTTAATTTATCTGGTTTGGCGCAAGTTACTAAGTTTTGGAGTTGCATTCCCTGAACCCTATTCTTCCCCTCGGATAGCATGCGATTTTAGTGAACTTGAGGTTTTCAGGAGCGCATTAGTTGCATTGTCGCAGTACTGACTGTACCTCGTGTTCCCTTGTACAAATTTAATGCATGTGAGTTCGTAATAACTTTTCAATTGCTCTCGAATTACCCTCAAAAATAAGCTTATTTCTGTTATTCCGTAAACAGTTTTTAGTTGCATGAGTGTGGAGAACGATGAGATGCTCCCTCTCATGCATCCTTCAGACTTGTGGCAATAAATACAAGATAATAAACAGCAAATAATAATTGGGCAGAGAAAACTCTACACCTGCTCATGCAAAAGGCACGGCGTAGCCAGCAGAATGTGGGAATAGTGTCAAACGATTTCCGTGCATAATTAGCTTTTGTTGAGGAGTGTATTTGCTGTAATGTATAATGTTTTATGCCTGATTACTGTCTTCAGCAGGTCAGTGATGTCTGACCTGTGATGCCGTAATTGTGCTATGTGGTTAATTATGTTATAAAGCGATGTCACTTACGGAAGAAACCCAATAGGTTTTGCTATTATGCATTTCTAGAGCAGTATTATTGACCTTTGCTGCCACCTGCTGGCAGAAAACATTCTTCTAGGCCTGGCATCCTAACCTTTTCCGGACCGGATAGACAGAGCAGGGACCCCCCCCTCTTTGCACATTATAAAATCATGTCCTATATTAACATGAACATTAACTACATTAACCTGTTTATTTATGAATGAATATAAATGACCCTATTAACCTGTTTATTTACTTTGACGCTTCCAATGCAAAAACTACAAACATAATTGACTGAGGCTTATAATTTTTTTTTTTTTTGCATCTCATTTCTGTTTCACTTCACATATTTTTGAGGTGTCTGTATATATAGTTCACATAACTTGCTTATCACTATGAGGTGTGGATAGTGTTTATTTTCTTGTTTTAATACAAATACTTAAAGTACAAAGTGTAACGAAATAAGTGGGACGGTCACAGTGTCTACATTGCAGTGGAGGTTATATATAATCATGATCATACAAATAAGAAAACAAATGGACAAATTACAATATTACCGCATGCATCACCGGTCTACTGGATAACATTAGTCACACTGTATGTGACTGTGCTCATTAACGTTGTACATTTTCAGCTTGCATCACGTTAGTCTCTATTGTCCCATCAGGGCACCTGGACAATAGCATTTGAGCTGAATAAAGACTCTGGATCACAACCAAGAGAGCATATTTAATTCAGAGAGCACTTTACAGTGATTATTTATCAATGGTTTAACATAATACCGGATTGAGTTTATATAAAATTTCACAAAAGTACTTTGTATATATATCTCAATATTTTCCATGAAGTGAGCTGAATGTTCGATTGCAAGTCAAAGAGATCTCTGGTGTCTGTCTCCTCCCCCCCCCTAACCACCCACCACGCTGTCATAGCTCTGGCTGGGCATGCCCGCCTGGTACGTGGCAGCCTGCCGCGCCAACGTGAAGAGCGGCGCCATCATGTCGGCCCTGTCGGACACGGAGATCCAGCGGGAGATCGGCATCAGCAACCCACTGCACCGCCTGAAGCTACGCCTGGCCATCCAGGAGATGGTGTCCCTCACCAGCCCCTCGGCGCCCCCCACCTCCCGGACCGTGAGTCCCCAAAGGGCCTGATGGCCCATTGCTTGTTGCACCACAATGGAGACTTATACTGTATGTTTCCTATTACCATCTCCACAGGAGCTGTTATGGTTGCTCTTTGAGTTGCCATAGTAACACCTGATAAATTGCCCGCTCTGTTGCAGTGCAAGCCTGCCGGCTCTCCGCGTACGCTAATGCGTATCATCGGCACACTTGAGTCAGGCGTTGCTTCCATTAACAAGCAGATGTGGTCGTGATGGCATGCCAGAGGAGGCACGGAGTGGATTGCATGGGGAGCAAATTACAGCACGCAGCACAGTTCCTGAGGAAGCGATTATGTGTGCGGGCCATTCCTGGGCCCTTGTGTCACGCTTCAGTTTCTGCCTGAACACAGGATCTCGCAATGGCAGCCATCCCCAGACTGAAACCGGGAACGGCATGTTATTCCCGTGAATTATTTTGTTTTACAAGCATGAATAATGTAACCTTGAGTTGCTTGGGTGTAGATATCACTGCCGTTAACTAGGATACAATGTTTAGGCTACAGACAGAAATTCTTTCAAAAGGAGAATATATCAGCAAAAAGTGATGGCTTATTATGATTAATCTCCTCTGGGGAGTAAGGTGAACCTGTGGCATCTCAAGTCCTGATCTTAGCTATCTTCTCATAGAAACACGGTGAGGCTTTACCCGCATTCTATGCCGAGGGACAGTCCTTATTCTTGTATGGCGCAAAGGTGAACTTGTTAGAGCTTCTAAGAGTTTGGTAAGAGACCAGAAGATTCTGGGAAAAAGACTCTAGCTGCTTGTAACTAGGTGCCTCCCTGGAGGCTGCCTTTGGCTGCTTAATGCACCCTGTAAGCCAGGGATAGTGTCTACAGTGCAGAAAATTGAGAGCAGGCAGGTAGCACATTTCTAGGATACCATGACTCAGAAGACTTTACAGATGGCTTAGGTGTTTAGAGGACATGGCAGCCTCAGAAAAGCAACTTACACCAGAGGGAGGACTTACAATTTACATGTGCTCCTTGGGATTCAGACCCATAACTTTTGCATTGTTAGCAGAACGCTGTACCTGTCGAGTGACAAGAGTTAGTATTCTGATTTGTGGTGTATTATTGGTACTTAAGTTCAACTTGACTAAACATCAGCTTAAGCTAATAGTTTGAGCTGCTCGATACTGGTCTTCCTGCTCATCCTCTACTCGCACTTGTTGCTTTGTTTGTGTCTAACCCTACGACTCACTCAAACGCCAGCACAGCCGCTTGTGGTCCCGGCCCCTCGTGTCTGCCGACCCGGGAGAGCGCTCTGCTTGCCTTCTGACCCTGATGCCGTAACGCCGTTGGCTTACAGTGGTGCTGCTCTTCTTCTTTAACGCTGCTTGACTGGCGCGGATCGCCGCTGTCGCTCGTGGGGGCCCCTCCCCATCCCGGTAGCCCTCGGGCAATGTCTGGGTGACCCACGAGGAAATGGAGACTCTCGCAGCTCCCACCAAAATGGTCAGTGCATAGCCCCTCCCACCGAGAAAGTATGTAAAGATCTGAGGGTGCCCCCCCCCTCAAACAGCTCATAACATAGACAGCTGAATAAGCACATTAGTGGGTCAGAGAGACCCGTTTGCTAAGAACCCAGAATCCACAGCGTGGTGTATTAGGTTTTGCATCACATTAAAATACACAAAAGTACACAAAAATAACCACATTACAAATATAAAACATTTATGTAAAACATTGCAAAATAGTTAAATATAAATAAAAATGATTTAGCAGGCTTGCACACCTCTGCGCAGGTGACATAGAGTTTGCGAGATTTAATTTGCATGCAATTTGCATCCTGGGGGGGAAATGACAGCCCTGCCGAAAGTAAGAATAATGTGTGTCCAATCTGTAAACCAAGTGAAGCCTGTCAGCCGGGAATGTGATGAAAGAACCTTTCTGTGTCTTTACGTCTGTGTCTGAAATGGCTGAATCCTACAGGCTTGAATACAGCACTCGGTGAGGAACCGTAACCATGAAGTCAGTATGCGCGGAATCGGCCATGTTTAAGTGTGCAGCCTGACTATCGCTGTCTTCTTTCATGTTTTGAACATGCTCACCCTCATGCCGCAGAAGTCCGAGTCCGAGGAGGGAAGCTGGGCACAGGTGAGCAGGAGACTTTAGCCATGGGACTTATAAAGGAGCAGTGGCAGTGGTCTGCTGGTCTGAAATAAACAGGCGGACACACTGAAATGAACAGTACAATCAGCAGAAAGCCCAGTTACTGCTGGGAGGTATTAGTGGCCCAGTAATCCCCAGGTACAGCACACTGTAGTACCAGTTACAGGGACGATTCTGTAAGCAGTATCTGTCTTTACTGAGGCTATATGAGAATGTGGCTTAGACAGAACAGTGGAAGGCAGGAGGCTGAATTAGGATTCAGTAACCTGGCGTTCAGTAACCTGGCGTTCAGTATCCTGGCAGTCAGTATCCAGGCAGTCAGTATCCTGGCAGTCAGTAACCTGGCGGTCAGTAACCTGGCGTTTGGTAGCCTGACGTTCGGTACCCTGGCCTTTAGTAGCCCGGTGTTCAGTAGCCTGGCCTTTAGTAGCCCGGTGTTCAGTGGCCCGGCATTCGGTAGCCTAGCATTTGGTAGCCTGGCCTTTAGTAGCCCGGTGTTCAGTAGCCTGGCCTTTAGTAGCCCGGTGTTCAGTGGCCCGGCATTCGGTAGCCCAACATTTGGTAGCCTGACCTTTAGTAGCCCGGCGTTCAGTAGCCCAGCGTTCAGTAGCTTGCCTTTTCTTGGTTGCTTGACTCATTTAACTCTCATTCCCGTAGTTCGCTTGCATTTATCTAGAGAAGCCTGGCAGGTGATGTATTTAGTAGAAATGCAAGGAAAAGACGTCTGAAAAATGAAACCATTTCAGAACAGGACACAAAAAAATCTCTGTGGGAAGTTTTGTCTCCAAGTGAATGTTTAGGGAATACCAGCCAGAATCCATCTGAAAACACAGGCAAATTGATTGTTTAGGGGTATTGAGTAGGCATTAAGAAAGTGTTTTTAGATCTGAATTATTCACTTACTAAAAGAACTGTCCAGTGTATTGGAATGTGTTGCCCTAAATCACAAAGAACAAGGTGCCAAGTTAGATAACGGCCCCATACATCAACGTAGACTGAGACTTTAGGTCTGAACCCGTGTGCTAGAGGTTTACAGGAAGTCCACCAACACTGAGGAGCCTCTTGGAAGGCCTGGAGAACTCGCTGTACTCGCAGTTGGCCTACAGGTGGCGTCTGTCCCTTTCAGACCCTGGCATACGGTGACATGAACCACGAGTGGATCGGCAACGAGTGGCTGCCCAGCCTGGGGCTGCCGCAGTACCGCAGCTACTTCATGGAGTGCCTGGTGGACGCCCGCATGCTGGACCACCTCACCAAGAAGGACCTCAGGGTGCACCTCAAGATGGTCGACAGCTTCCATAGGTATCTCCCTCTCGTCGTTTGAACATGGGTCACATGCGTAGTCAGAAATTGGATCTGAAATTGAACTGGGGCACTGGGTCGAGCGTCGGCCTGCGCTTACTTCTGTTGACCTCTTGGGGTCCTCATTCCTCATTCCAACAGGACGAGCCTGCAGTACGGAATCATGTGCTTGAAGAAGCTCAACTACGACAGGAAGGAGCTGGAGAGAAGAAGAGAACAGAGTCAGCACGAGATCAGAGGTATGTGGTGTGTGACTGGTGGCTCAGGGGCCATGCTTTACCATCTCTGACCACTGGGGGGCGGGCGTCTCTATCTGGCCCACAGATGTGCTGGTGTGGAGCAATGAGCGCGTGATCCGCTGGGTGCAGAGCGTCGGCCTCCGTGACTACGCCAACATCCTGCAGGAGAGCGGCGTGCACGGTACCCTCATCACCCTCGACGACAACTTCGACTACAGCAGTCTGGCTCTGCTGCTGCAGATCCCCACCCAGAGCACGCAGGTGAGGAAGTCCCACATGGAAGTCAGGAACCCCCCAGTACACAGAGACATAAGGTCTCTGTAAGAGGTCTCTGTCTTTACATTATTAAAGACAGCAGATACCAGTCGTAGTCGCTTACCCCCCTGTGTACACCCCACCCCCAGGCACGCCAGATTCTGGAGAGAGAGTTTAACAATCTGCTGGCCCTGGGCACGGACCGCCGGCTAGATGAAGTGAGTCGCACTAAGAGGTTATGGTGGTACAACAACTGGGCCTTGGAACCGGTACCGGTTTCAGGCCTGCGATGTTACCAGGAGTGGGTTGTTGTTGGGGGAAAGGCTGTTATCAGAGGAAGGAGTGAGCTCTCTCTGCGATTCGGGGGGGATGGACATCATCCTGAGCTGACCCGGTTCCCCTGGCTCCCGCCACAGGACTTCCAGCGCGGCTCGGCCTGGAGGAGACAGTTCCCACTTCGGGACGTGCACCGGATCAGCATGATGCCCGGCTCCGCCGAGACACTGCCGGCCGGATTCCGGCTCACCGCTACATCAGGCTATTCCCGCAGGATACCACCCGATGGTGAGCGGGGGGGGGGGGCTCCCAGCCGTCTCACACAGACAGCCTGGCAGGGGGGGGCTCCCAGCCGTCTCACACAGACAGCCTGGCAGGGGGGGGGCATTCTGACAGTGTCCTTGTCATTCTCTCCCTGCTGGGGGCCACATAGCCCTCTATGAGGTGCTGGACGACAGTCCTGATGACTTGTTTTTGGACTGGGTTCAAGGTCAGCCATCTTGGAGTAGTCCGCCCCCCACCCCACCCTTTTTGTCCTCCCCCCCCCTCCGAGTCAGCACGGTATTCAGCGGTTCGGCAGACATGTTAACCTGAGACATCCTGTTGTTCTGGCCAGTGTGAAGCAACACCCCAGTCAACCCATGTTTTCCATGTTCTCGTCTCTGATTCGCCATTACAGAAAGCCCCGCCCCCTTTTAACAGCCAAGTGGCGTGCCATGAATTTGTCTGACCCTCTCCTGCTTGCAGTGTGCCCCCCTCCCTCACTCACACCCCTCCTGTGCGATGCTGCATACTGACCCGGTTCTGTCCCCCACAGCGGGTCCGGCCACAGTGCAGAGGCTGGACAGCTCAACCGTGCGCACCTATTCCTGCTGAGCAGCCAATAGGAGCGAGCCGTGCTGAACCCTGTGAGTGCTCACGACGTCCCCCGTCACGTTCGCACTGTTAATAGTCACATTTCATGGTTCAGGTTTCATGGTTTTTTGTACATTGCACATACAGTACTATACAAAAGTTTTAGACTGTCAAAGAAAATGTTAAAAGCCATTTATCTAGATAGTAAGTGTATATTTGCTGACTTTGTAATACTATTTAAACATCAGACCATATGTAAAGTAACGTTACAAGAAAAACTAACAAGAATTTTGTTTCCAAAAAGTAACTGATATCTTGCTGGATGGCTAGATGAACCACTTCAGGTCCCAAACCTCTCCTCGGGGGCACGTCACCCGTTCCATGTGTGTGTTAAATTAATCACCACCAGCTCATTAATTAATTAACTTAATTAGTTAAGTGAGGTACTGACTTATAATGTCATAGTTTTTTTACACCAACATCAAAAAATCATTTAAACATCATTTTCTTTAACTGCATAAGACTTTTTCACAGTACTGTATGTACTAAATTTAAATTAAGAATCGACAGATGAACTTTAGTTTGTTGTACGTTTCCTCTGGAACTTGTTCTGAATAATTTAACGGTTGAGGTTTTGGAAAAGTGTGCTCACCCTTCACTGAAGGCTTCTGGGTACACGGCAAATTGGTAATATATATGATTTTAAAGAATCAAAAGTCCCTTCAATCTGAAGCTTAATAACATCACTAGTGCACGCAGAAAGATGTGTATGCAGCTGTTGGCACAGCTAAACATGTTGAAAAAAAGTCACAAATAAAATCAGCATCCCACCCAAGGGTTTAAAAACAGCGTCCAGCGATGACACTTCACTGGGTGACTGACAGCACCCCCCCCACCCCCACTCCTGTCCACCAGGTCGAGACTCCTCAGACTGGGGAGGGCGAGCGAGTTTGCCGGAGGTCCGGCGAGACACACTGCCAGGGAGCGCCCCCTCTGGTGGGCACGGGCCGGGCCGCCCCTCTGCTCCCACTGCCGACTGCGGCCTCTCTCCAACTGCCCTCCGTCAGCATTCCTACCCTTTTCTCGTAACTAGTCACACAGTACATATGCTTTAACGGAACCTATAGGCTGTATGTAAAATAATATAAATATGTTTTTATATATAATACATATAAATGGGAAAAAAACATACTCAAGCGTGTGCATATAATATTCCAGGATGCCATTTAAATGTTGGAATAATGCTGCTATTTGTACCCTACTTTCCATGAAGCTGTTTTTCTTTTTTGTATGTTAATGTTTTTGATCCCAGCCCGCCGGGTTTGAAGTACATCACGGCGATAGCGCCACCTAGGGGTATTTTAAAATCGGCTGCGTCGCCCTGGCAACGGTGACGCGGCTCCACCTTTATAACTGCGAAAGCCAGCCTCCGCTTTCTGTAGGCGTTCCACCGGCACAGAGGGGTTCTGGGAAAAAATGCGCAGAAGCACGTTGTCAGAGCCTGAGCTGACAAGCGGTGGTATTAACGTAGATTTTGTATTAGAAAAGGAGCGATCCAGGATATTGAAACTTGAATCAACAATCTGTAAGCGGGAGGAGACACAGATATCGGAAAGCTGACTCGGAAGCTTCTGGACCAAGCTGGCCTTTTTGTTATAGATCACACTGTAGTCACTTTATCAGCAGAAATATCTGAAAGACAGTCAGAACCTCGCAGTGCATCGTTGACCTGGGCTATTATTTAATTTCTTTTTTTTCTCTCGATGGACCCAGTGCTTGCTGTGATTTCCTCTGGTGTATCTAACTGTCAGCTGTTATTTTTTAACGTAGAAGTGTTGAGCAGAGCTGAGGAGATTCCCTTCCTGATTATGACCCAAGCCGTCTTTTAGTTATTTCTGCCACTAGACCCGAAATGTTCGGTTTTTACACTCTGGGTTTGCACGTATGGAACGATGATTTGTGTCCATGATTATTTATCACTAACTGTTTTATGGCCAAGAATGAATTGTGATTCGACGGGTTTTCGTTGTCAATAAAGATGAAGTGTCAGTAACTGGCAGCGACTCGTTCCGTTATGTACATTTCAAACCACCACAGGGTGGCGCTACAGCACCATTTATGCACAAATATTCATCTTTTCTATACATAAACACACGCACCGCTTGGAACATTGAACAACTAAACAGAACAATTCGTCTGGGAAGCAAAATACCATTAGATGGCAGAATGTGTAGTTTTATACAAAAACGAGAGTTCCTTACGGGAACCAGCTGCTTGTGTCTTTAAGGTACCTGAGCAGCCAGGACTCCTAGAAATAAAAATGAGTTAATTTCTTCGTGAGACAGGCTGTGAGGTTACGCTTCACAGTCCTGCACGGTTGGCTTAGCGCATGCTTTCGGCTAAGGTGAAGGCCAGTAGAGGAAGATCGAGAGAACATGGTAAGCGACAGAATGAACAATGAGAATGAGACTGGCCTGCTCTCCGTGGCCTAACAGACCTGTGGGTAGCAGATGTCGCAGGTGAATGGAAACGTACTGCTACACGAAGTCCATGTCAAACAATGTCTGATCCAACAGATTAAATAAACCGCATGTTGAAAGGCCTCTGCCGACAAACAGACATGGATTAAGGAAAATAGTGAGTGAATGAATGAATGAAAGTTGCATTTAAATAGCGCTTTTCACCCAAAGCACTTTACTTAGGCAATGGGGAGCCACTTCAACCCCCACCACTGTGTAGCCCCCACCTGGATGATGCAGCAGCAGCCAGTACACTCACCACAGAGTAGCCAAGGTGGTGAAGGGGCAAGGAGAGAATTCACCAGTTAGGTGATTAGGTGGCCAGGTTTACCCAGGACATCGGGGTACCACCTCTACTCTTCCGAAAGACACCGAGGCATCTTTTATGACCTCAAAGAGTCAGGACCTCAGTTTTATGTCTCATCTGAAGGACGGCACCATTTTTACAGCACAATGTCCCCGTCACTGCACTGGGGCACTGGGATCCACACTCACCACAGGGTGGGTTAATCTGTTGGCCACACCAACACCTCTTGCAGCAGCAACCCAGCTTTCGTAGTTGGCCTCCCACCCAGGCCCAACCCTGCTTATCGTCAGGTGGATTACCGAGTCTGAACTGCAGGTGTCCCTATTCACACATTAATGCTGCCAATATAAACTTGTGACCCTTCATACTACAAGCAGCCATCCTCCAGTAACACAAGGATCTCCCAGTAGGAATAATCCCCATCCCCAGCCGCTGATTTGTCACCGTGCCGCTCCCAGCACCCACAGACACCACTGTCTGCATTGGGGTGAGACCCCGTGGTGAAACTGCGAAATGCAGCGCTAAAGCTAACCGCAATGCTAATCGTGTGCATTTTAATGGAAGCTGCTTGGTGAACTAGCATATATTAACATTAGCTTAAGGATTCTGTTAAGTTATAGTGCTGCTAACTCCCCCATTTAAGCTAAGATATATATTAAAGCTAACATGGTAACTCTGATCAGCACTGGATTTAGTCTCCTTTCATTTTGTTAGACTTTGTTAGGTTACGGTGGAGTTACATTCGTAAGGTAAAAATGCATTATAATACAGTACACCTAACCTAACAAATGTCATAACCTAGCCTAGCCTTCCTTAAACATGCTTAGAACACTTACATTAGCCTACAGTTGGGCAAAATCATTAGCACAAAGCCTATTTTATAATAAAGTGTTGAATATCTCATGTAATTTATTGAATAATCATACCCATCATAATGTCAAAATATCGTGACACGGACTATTGTAACCTGGGGAGCATCTGTACTGACCGGACGATGGCAGGTCATCGTGCACATTTTAATCAGGATAAAACCCCTCTAACCAGCTGGCTGTAACCACTAACCCCCCCCCATCCCACCCCCTTACCAATCACGTGAGTCACTCCAGGTTAAAAATAGCCATGCTGGACTCCCACACGCAACAGCAAAGTCCATGGTAAGCATTACGATGGAGAAAGAGTAACAGGCTGAACATACACAAAATGGGCTTTGAGCATTCAGAGAGAATTGTCTTTTGAAAAGGTACAGGTTGGTTTGGGTCAAACAGCACAGCCAAATCTGGGTCCTGTCAAAGGAAGCAGACATCCAAAGTTCACAGCAGATGACGGCCGATTAAGCTTTAGCCCACTGCATTTCAGTACATTCATGCCAAGACATTACTTGTGAATGGTGACGCCCCCCCCCCCCCTCCGCCAAAGACTGAATTGAGAAATACTGTGGCAATAAAACCAATCACAACACAAGCCTCGATTCTGTGACTCACCACCCACCAAGGATGAATCTAGGCCAACTGCGGGACTGCAATAGCCTAGAGAACAGATGAATAAAACAGGATATGATGTCGCCCTCTGTTTCAAACAGCATACTTAATATAATGAGGCACAGTACTAAAATGATTTGCTACAAATGAAATCTGTTTGCCAAAGAACAAAGGTATAAAAATAGAAAACAAAAACAAATAGTCTGTGGTCTCTGAAAACATAAATTTAGTGGAATAAATGCTGTTCCACACCCCCAGGTTAGTAATTATATATTTGTGGGGACTCTCATTCATTTCTATGGCAAAAACTCTAGTCCCAACATGACAATCAACAACTACACACACACACACACACTCACACAGATGTAGGGTAAACATATCCTTATGGGGACCGCTCATTCACACACACACACATGTTTTGTATCCAACTGCATTTGGCACTTTCTTTTTAACCAAGTGTCAGGCTGCATCGGCCCACACTGCTACATTTTCGTCTAAAAACACAGCGATTAGTCTCCGTTTTCACCTTTTGTCCACACTTCCTTGGAGTTTTCCACCCCCAAAAATTCGAAGCTCTGCATGGGTGTATCCTTCTGAAAACTCCATTTTAGCATTTCAGTGTGGATGGAAATACGTCTGTGTGGATGGAGGTCATTTCATGTGAAAACTCAGCTTTCAAATAAAAACGCAGCACTGTCGATTATACAGTATAGGATGGACCAGGAAACTGCTAGAAACTTGTAAGGGGCTGGAAACCATGCACCAGGAGGGGTGTGAGGCCCAGTGCAGCACATGGAGCTGTAAGCAGGTGTTATTCAGTTCCTCAGTTTACCAATAAAACACAGCCTCAGGTTTATAAAAAGCGTAGCACAGGAGGGACTCAGCAGTCCCTATATGGGCTCCATACTTTACATAAGAAAGAAAGATAAACATCCAGCTGTCACACAATGAGACGTACCGAGCTCCAGAACGACCCAGCAGAGACCAGCCAGGCATGAAATATCACATCCTAACCAAAGGAAACATCACCCTGAAGAAAAGATGGAATGGAATAAAGGAAAGGGTCACACCCTGGGGGGTCACCGTGGATGGGCTAAAACCAAACAGGGCACTTCCACTGACCATCCCAGCCAAGGGGCGGGGCCACAGGCACACTGGCCCAAGCTGAAAGCTGATTGGCTGCCAGAGTACCCCGCCCCTGTCACTCACCAGTTTAAAACATATAATTAACAGAGTGCGAGTGCTGTAGATTTGCAGGTGAGACAGCCGGCTGGCTTGGCTGCCCGCTGTGCCCTGTGTGTGCACTGTACAGCTGGGGAGCCTCTGCGTGCTTCATTTGCATATCGGGATTGCCCTGGCAGTGCGCCGTTGCTAGGGAAACCCAGAACTGGCCTGATCTGCAATCTCAGAGATCAAATGCTGGGTTGAAGTTCAACAGCACTTTGAAGCAGCCCTGCGTGAAAGTATAAGCCCCAAAACTTTGTATTTACAGACCAAAGATAACAGGAACTCAGACTGATTTCACTGTTGGGCTCCAGAGCAAAGTCCTTAATCCCTAATTGCTCTAGGGACCGTCTGACCCATGGTTCTCAATTGCATGTCGCTTTGGATAAAAGCGTCTAGAAAATAAATAAGACTCAAATACTCGACTTAAAGCTGAATGTACAAAAATGAAGGAATACATAAAAATGAAGTTACTTTTAGAATGTGCTTCAAGCATCAATAGATGTCAGAAGGATAGCAAGAGGCCTCTTTGCTCCTGCGGGTTCTGAAGATGCAGGGACCTCTGCCTGCCTGCTCTCGTCTCTGACAGAGCCGCTCGCTCCACCGTGGCCTGGAACCCTGAGGTAAGGAGTAGCACTCAGCTCCAGCCTCCAAAGCCATTAACATGGCTGCCATCCGGAGAGCCCCCAAGTGATTATCAGCTGAATATTCAACAAAACGGGGAGCTGTTTGCTTCTCATAAAAGACACCACGGTTATAAAACTGAGGGGGAACAAACTGTTTGGTTGCACTAATAATGAACCACTCCCGCTGCTTTGCAAATGTAACCATGACGTTGTTAATGCCACCGTTGCTGGGGCAACATGAATGACATCAGAAGTGTGTGAAGTGAATATCTGTAGCTTTCAAAGCAGGTGAGGGTTTTACATTTCCGCTCCCATTTAATAGAAGTGTGTGGAAACGCACAACAGCTGAATTGAAATCTGAAAGTGTGCCGGGAATTTGCATCCTCAACAGCAGTGTGAGCAGCTGTAAAGCCACTTCTTAAAGCTGCTATTCCTGAGGCCCATCTTCTACCTTGGGTTCTTCCGCCTTGGATTCTTCCCACTGCTAGGAATTTCAGTAGATGCAGAAGTCTCAATATTCTAGGGCAGGGTTCTTCAAATCTGGACCTCGACTCCAAATCCAGGCCTTGTTTTCAGTTCCCCCAGGTAGTTAGTTTAATAATTACTGATTCTGATTGGTCAGAGGCTTCACACCTGACTGACAGGTAAAGGAAGGCTGGAAAACCAGCAGTGTTCGGACCTCGAGGACCGTGATTTGAATAACCCTGTTCTAGGGCCTTGCCCTGTCAGGACCCAACACAGTTTGGCCTGAGTCTTCATTGAGGCCCATAACATGCCTGACAAATCAAATGAATTTCTTCCAGAAAAACAAATGTTTTATGTTATTGCTTAAAGGAGTTAACTTACGTACTGTCAATTTTTAGTGCACTCTGAAGAATGAATGTGGTTTTTGGGTAGTA